TTGTAAATTAAATTATAACATTTTTCATAAAATATCAATAATTTTATGTCATAATACAAATTATTTATTATAACTATAAAATATAAATTATACATAATAAATATTTAACTTGTGTAATACACGAATTAAAATAGTTGTATTTGTTAATTTACAATATACATAAAGTCAAAACTGACAAAAGAAATATAATAGAAAGAGTAACAAGAAAATTCTTTATTTGTTTTGCAAATTGGAAAACTTATTTCACTTTTTTTTATATATATATTTTTAGAAGTGTTTCTAATAAATTTATATTTACGGTTCTTATGTAAACAATAATCATATTGAATTCTTCCATTTTTTTTTTTTTTTTTGCAAGTTTTTCTTTTTGACAATTGTTTTGACATAATTGTTTGATTTTACAGAAAATTCAGACACAATGATAACAGATGTAAATATAGACTATACTGGGGTACGTACTCACCCATGCCCACCAGAACATGCATGTCCACCTGTGTAACAAATTACCACCAATACTTGTAAAATACTAATCATCAATGATAATAATAATAATAATATTTTATATAAAAAAATTATTAGTTCAAATAATCTAGTATTTATCTTTTTTTAATGAGAGATTGAAATTTAATTTTTGTCTTAAATATAAAATAGTAATTAAAAATATTACTTTATTTTTATAATAACTAATCCGATTAAAAGAAATTATACTTTCTTATCAAATAAAAATAATTATTATATTTTATATTATCATATTTATTATAACACGAGAATAATAAGATAGTAATAACTTCCTTGTGTTTATGATGTGTATCTCGATTGCAATCATATTTAAGACAATAAGAACTGCTTTTGAAAATATTATTTTAAAAGTTTTTATGCCTTTATGTCAATTTTTTAAAATACTCAAATGACAAAAAATATAAATCTAAATAAAATTAGAGGCTATTTTTTTAAATAGTTTTTCATGTTTTTATAATGATTTTTATGAGTTTAATTAAATGAACCTGAGTTAAAATTTACCTTTTTTCTATAAAAAATTCTAAAAATTAAATAATCATTAAATTATTTTACATCAAAATTATTTTATTTACAAAATGAAATTTTTTTTTACAACTATAGCAACCAAGGTTACTATGAGACGATGAAAATAGATTAAAAAAATAAGGAATAACCATCAATGCTTATTTTATAAAAAATAAAAAAAAATTTATAAAATAGAAAGTAGTCTATGAAAACAGATTTTATATTTGAAGTTAATTATATCATCTTACAATGTTTGTCGTACAAACAATTACTTTTAATTAATTTAACAAATTATTTATAATTTTTAAAATATTTATCTCATCCTAAATTAATCAAAATTAACTATAATAATCAAAGATATTTTATTTAACAAGTGTGCTTATTTTATTTTAATGAGAATTAAAATTATCATTATTATTGTTATAAAAAAGGGAGAGTTGATATTGTTAATTTTATTTTTTATTCAACAAGAATGATTTCCTTCTTGTACATATCTTCATGTATAATAGATCAACTAGAATTGCATAATTCTTTATATAGAAAATATTTGTATATTAGTATTTTTTTTAATTAAATTATGTTTCTATAAAATTTAGAATTCTTATGATTTTAAAGTATAAAATTAATATAAGTGTATATCAAAGTTGATTTCAAATTATAATTCAGTTATAAATAACAAGTTGTTATAACTTACATCTTTAAACTCTAGAATTAAGAGAATATCACATTTAAACAATCATTTGTCTATTAAATATTACTTGATTTTAACTAAATCACTTTCTTTATAATTAGAGCTTAAAATACTTTATTTTAAAAGAGTTTTGAAACTACCATGTTGTCTCAACGTCTTAAAACTTGTGAAGTTAAAAAAAAAGTCATATTAATATATATCTTTTTTATTAAAATAAATAATTAGCTTATAATAATAATAATAATTAAATACATTATTTTGAGATTTATATGCATCATTGAATTTTTTTTTTAATTTAAAATATGGAAGCAAAAAAGTTAAACTTGCATGCATAGATTCACTTTTCCACATATTCATTGCATGCATCAAAAGCTTGTCATGACACATAGCCTCGGTACTTAAAACTCACATGAACAACAAATACAAAAAAGAAAAAACAAAAGGTGGAGCACATAACACAACATCTACCCAATACTCACAATAATGAAACAAAATATAATATGAAGCTTAACTACACGCACTGAATCGTGACATAAACGGAACAAAGATAAATGCAAAACAAATGTGCACAATTTTGACGCAAAAAGGGTGAGAGAAAAAAGAACTTAGTTGAATATAAGAAAACTTTCATTGGTGTGATTAAGTGCTGGTTCCATGCATCCGTTGACGTGAAGTTCACCAAGATTCGTGTTTCCCAGTGGTGACTTCACATTGGTGATCACGGTGTGTGATTTGAGATGATGAGGGAAAATTAATTAATGCGAGGGTTCTTTTTTAGAGAAGGAGGATGAAAAAGAAAGGTAACCCAAGTGTTGTATGTTGAGAGGGTTTATTTATATGGGTTGAGTTGGTTGTGGAAGAGGTGATATGTGTAAAGCTAGCTAGAGGCTTATGTGAGATGGTTACGGAAGATTTGAGTGGTTTGAGAAGCTTCTCATGGGCAGAGGCTTGAGCTGGTTTTCAGGAGTCTCTCTTATGGGGATAGGGTGGTGGTGGTGGTGATAGTGGCTGAGGTTGATTTTTATGGGGTTCATAAGTTATGAATGACATGTTTTTCTTCTTGTGATGTTTCTTAATTATCCAAAAAGAAAGTGGTGAGTTAATTGCTTGGCAGTGATGAGCTAAGAGAATGACTACTTCGTGGTTACTCATACGCATATTGTTAACAATGAATAGTAAGTAAAGAACATAACTGAGCTTATAATATAATCTAAGATCTTAAATTATGTATTCATTAGATAAATGAATTTTTTTATTTATATATTATTTAACATGTTAACTTATTTCACACTTGAATTAAGAAACATGACTTTAGAGAGGTGAAAAGTTTGGCATATATATATGCATATGGTTTTGTGCCAAGAAAGTGTATAAGTTTGTCTTTCAAGTAAATAATAAATTACCCACTTAGCCATTCTGCCCCCACTCTGGCGAATGCTCCATCACCGCCCTCCCCCTCGCCGTCAGCCGCCACTCCTCCGGGTCACTCCCGGCAGCGGCAACTAAAAGGCTTTCTTGTTGAATGATATGATGAATGTCAAGTATTTAATGTTAATTTGTTTCCTCGAGTGTGTTTTTCTTTTTTTTAATTATTTGTTATATTGTATTGCCATATTAAATAATTTCGTCCAGTGTATCAATAATTAATACTTGACTGTATCTTTCTTATGTAACGTTAAATATATATAATTATTTTCTCTATAGAGAAGATAGAATATGATTGAGAATGGTTTATTATTTTTCAGTAAAGTACTAGTCTTCTTCATCCGTAAGTACAGATAATCAAATTCTTATTCACATAACATACTTAATAATATCAGCTACACCTTTCATACTAAAGTATATAAGTATTTGTGCGGTACATAAATATTTTGATAACTCGTATAATTTAATATCTAACCTTGTTTTTAATGATAGTTTTCGTATAAATTGAAACATTTATACTGTATATGATCTAGAAAATTATGGTTAAAATGATATTTTAATTTCTTTATAAGAAAATAATATTATAATTTAAAAGTTAATTTTATTTCATTAACACAAATTAACCTCATTATTTTTTATTAAATAATACAATAATTATGCATCTTTTAAATAAAATCAATTCAATTAATTTAATATTTATTTCAATTTATTATAATTATTGTATATTTTATGCATTCAATTTTTTAGTTAAACATTTCATATTTTTTTCCTAAAATAATTATAATACTTGTTATAGTGCATTCCCTTAAAAAAAACATTTAGATAGTATTAGTGTGATATTAAATATTATCGTATTTCTATATATGTTTTTATTAATATTATATTATATAATTTTAAAAATAAATATAAATATAAATATCATTCAATTGGTATAATTTTAGATATTATTATTTTATGTAATCAAAAAATAATATTATTTTCTTTCGACAATCATCTTAATTATTAACTAAACTTTAAGAAATTAATCCTTTAAAATGTTTGAAGACAATCTAAAATTTTTGTAACATTATATATTCGCTATAATTAAGGAGAAATATTTATTCTATTCGGGGTTTAATAATTTCTTCCTTCCCTCCAAATCTTCTTTTACATTATATATATTATAAATAAAAAAATATTAAAAATAGTTATAAATAAATAAATATATAAAAATAATTAATATCACAATAATTGATAAAAATAAAGATTTCACCTTTATAATTAATAAAAAAATTATAATGTAAATGATAAATGGAACAAAATAAATGAATAAAATTGAATAATAACAACTATAAATTTTATGTCAAAAAATAAAAGAATTAATAATTTATTAAAAATTCCACAAAAATAACTAAATTAAAACAATCAAAATCTATAACATTAATCAAATTAATTTCTTAAAACATATTTGTTAAATCAAATTATTCTCCTAAAGTATATTTTCTTAAGAAATATTAAAAAAAATTCATGCAATAATTAACAATTTTTGCAATAAAAAAATGAAATTGGTTATGATTTAATGAAGGACTGAATAATTCGAATATCAATTTAAGCATATAATCGTAACTAACAATTTGAATTTAAAGTTATAACTTATATATCTCTGTATTTTTGGTAAATGGATAGGTAAAAGTGTTACACCTCTTTATTAAAAAGGAAACGGTAATATTTGGTCATTATGAAAAAGACACGATAATATTTGGTCAGACACTTGTAACATATAACATTAATTCGTGTACTAAGTATGAAGACGTAACATGAAGTCAAGAACCTTATTTATAACCCCCTAGAGCGTTAGAGAGAGCATCATTGTTCACCAAAGTGAAACAACAGTATCTCATAAAAATTAGAGATGGGTTCTTCAAGGTTTTTATGTCTATTTTTGATTTTTGCTTTTGCTGTTGCATGCAGTGCTCGTGGCATAACCACAGGTATAGATGCAGTAGTCTTTTTTTGTCCTCTATTTTTATGAATATTAGATTTAAAAAATGTTTTATATATCCTTTAATTTTGTATGTATTACAGATAATTCTGAAAGTGTAGCAGTAGACATAGACAATAAAGGGCCAGACACGCATCCAAACCCCCCTCCAGGACCACCCCCCCATCTGAAGGACTCATTGATAAGGAGAGGCTTTGACGAGCCATACAGACCCCCAACCCCTCCTAGTCCCTGATTGCCATTGCTACTCCATCTCATATTCTCATGGATAGTACTACTAAGAACATGCTCATAGTATATACTTGTCAAAACTTTCATTTTACTATCTTAATCTCCCAATAAGAGAATGTGATATCATGTTACCATTTTATGCCTGGCCCTAATTTCAATAAGAGATTCTTGGTGTACTCATCTATATCCAAATATTAATTTCTCTCTACATGCACAAGCTTTTTTTTTTAACATATCTTTTATAGTGATTGATAAAATTATCGGTATAAAAGTTATTTAATTAAGAAGTTCATTTATCAACTGCCAATCCACAATATTTCATCCAAAACGAAATGAACACCATATATGCCCCAAAATAATTTAAGACAATGTTGATAAACTTTACTTACAACACACCAAAATCACCAATCTCACTATACAATGATTGGGAAATGTAATTGACCAATCTCACCATACGCGTGTTTACCATATATTATCTCACACTTTTTTTTAATACAAATTCTATTATTAATATACGTTAAAATAAAATGATATAATTAATTACCAAGTATTTTAAAGTTGTAAACAAGTTTATATATTTGATCTAATTAATATATATCATCAAATATAATGATTGGATATATTGAATTTGCATTCAATAAAAAATCATTGAAAGTGTCACTTTGACATTATGGTATCAACATTTTATATATATATATATATAACATGACAATCACAAAATAGTAAATATTAAAACATAATATATAAAGGGGAAAATTACAAAAAAAATATATATTACATTTGAAATGTGAGAATATTAATCATTTTAAGATATTTTCTAAAATGATAAAATCTAATATTTTGGAAAAAGGAGTATTATCAAATAATAAATTGTTATTGTATTATTTTAATGTTAGTGATTTTTATAATAACATTGAAAAATTTATTCATGAAATATATTTCAGTTAATTGATAGTGTGTTATAATATTTTGATAATGGTGTTGAGAAACATTGCATTAATACGCATAAGGATTAAACATATTCAACTAAAGATAATATTAATTATATTTTTATTTATTTTTTATAAATTTTTAATGAATTACATAAGATAATAATTAATTGCAATAACTTTATAAATATTAATATCATATGAATTTTCATAATCAGTTATTGCATAAAATGTTTTAAAAAATTATTAATTGAGAAAATTTAATTACATGAAATAAATTATTGCTCAAAACTTTTGATTTGTGAGAAATTAGATTTGCCGGCATGTTATTACATTTGTAAAAAATTCTCATACAATATAAATTAGGTTTAATACATCATTTGTCTTTCAATTTCTTAAAGATTTTCAATTAGGTTCTATTGTACTAGAAAATTTTGTAGTTAGGTCCTTTAACCAATTTTATATATATTTTAATAGTTTATGTACTTAGAAATTCATTTAAGATCTGGGAAATTTTACAAAAATATTCTTAATATCTATAATGGATTATGTGTGGTTTGGGACAGAGGGTATAAGAATATCACCTGTACCTCAGATTCTTTATTACACATGCTTTGTCACTCATTAATTAATGGGGATTTTGATCTATTTCATAGATATAATTAACAATATTATATTAACTATTGTGGAGATGAGACAAAAAGGTTAGAAAGTGGAGTTCTTACACATTCTTTACGGGAGGGGATGAATCGGTGTGCAGATTTCCTATCCAAGATGGGTTTGAACTCGGGAGAATCTCTTCAAATAGTTACTCATATGCCTGCGCCAGTTGAGAGGTTTGTTGTTAGCTGATGCAATGAGTGTTAGATTCTTTCAGTTGTAATTTCTTATAATTTCTTTGTTTTTTTTCTTTATTACCTTCCTGTACAAAAAAAAGATTATTATTCCATTTCTTCATTTATATGTATATTTTCTGGATTGTAAAGAAATTTCTAACTCTAGAGAATTATAAAAATATAAAAAGATGCAAAACCTAATTATAAATTATTTTAATTTAGAGACTAATTAAAAAAATTTTAAAAAAACAAATTTAGAGACTAAATAATATATTAAATCTATAGTTATAAGTTAATAATTTTTTAATATTATTTTGCTTCATTTTTTAAATTGCATTAATGTAATCAAATTGACTGAATTGAAAAAAAAATTATATAAGGAACTACTCCTTAGTAGCAATACCTCAAAATATTAGAGATAAGTTGTTCAACTTTTTATGTTGTTATATAAGATAATAATTTGTTGCAATAATTTTATCAATAGTAATATTGTATGAATCATGAAAATTAAGTTTTAAAACTTTATTAATTGAGAACATTATATGAAATAAATTATTGGTCAAAACTTTTGATTTGTGAGAAATTATACTTGCTGACATGTTATTGATTTTGTAACAAATTTTCATATAATAATTAATAAGAATTGTTAATTAGTCAATATTATTTTGTTTCATTATTTAAAATTTCATTAATATAGTCAAATTGACTAAATTGAAAGACTTTATAAAAACACCACTTCGCAATAGCAAAACCTCATAAGAAAAATTAGAGATGGCTTCTTCAACTTTTTTATGTTGCCTCTTTTTTGCTTTCATTGTAGCTTGCTTTGCCCGTGACATCCCTACAGGTATACATGCAAAATAATACTCCAATCATGCATGCCTTTTTATAATAGATTATTACCTCTTTTAGATTTTGTAAAAATTGTTAAATCTCCTCTAAGTGATGAGGATTACTAGCTTGCATAAACACATTCATTTTCCCCCGATTCCAACACATATGAAGCCTACTTTAAGAAATAAGTGATGAGAGGAGACTATTTTGTTCTTTTAATTATTACCGAGAAATATGAAGGTTAAGACTATTACTATCACATTATTGTGCACCGAGAGTTACCACACACATGTACATGTCTCTACATTGATAAAATATTGTCCGCTTTGAGTTTAATTCTCACGATTTTGGTTTTAGATACTACCCAAAAAATCTCTTAATTAGTGGAGACAACTGTGTGTATATAAACCTATATTCATCTTTTTGTTTGAATGATGTCGGACTTTACTTGCATCTTAACACTCATTAATTATTTTATAAATTATACACACCATATGATTATTTAATATTATGCATGAGCAAAATGCTAGAAATTCAATATTTACTATTGCAAAATTTTATTCAACATTAAAGTTTTTGTGAATTCTACTTCTTATTTATTGAGACTGTGCCATGATTTCATAATTTTAAATAAATTTTAAATATAGTTTACATATATACGGACCAAAACTTTTTTTTTTGTTATATTAAAAATATTTTATCTATTTAATTGTGTAATTACAGATAATTCTGAAAGTCTGGTGGCAGAAATAGACTATGAAGGTCCACACACACATCCAACCCCTCCACCCCATCTCAAGGAGTCACTGACATATGTAGGAATTAACGACCCTTACAAGCCAAGCCCTCCTCCGCAATCTTCACCACATCTCAAGGAACCGTTATTACATGCAGGCTATCACATCCCATATTTTAAAATTTTCAAATAAATTTATTATACTTTATATAATTTCTAAATAAATCTCGATTTTTATATTTATGTTTATAAAATTCGTGTCATACATAATTTTTTTTTTATGTTATGATTGGTAGACTTTAGAATGTCAATCTTATTGGGATATTTTAGTTTTATAGTGATGTTTAACATGGTAAATCTTTAATTTTAAAAAATTATTATTTTAAAATAAGAGAAATATATAAATGTGAGGAATTGCTATATCGTATGGCGAATGTTTCAAAGAACTCCACGCAATGGAATACAATATTGCTTCTTTTTTTTTTAAGCAATGAAAATATTGCTACATCATATGATATCTGGCTAAGTTTATCATATGCGAATGTTTCAAAGAATTAGACGCAATGAAATAAAATGTTTTTTTTAAAGCAATGAAAATATTGCTACATCATTTGATATCTGGCTAAGTTTCCAGAGTATGATTGATTAATTGACCTTCTCTAAATGACGCAAAGAAACATAAGCTGCATAAAAATTCTAATAAAAACACTAAACTTTTGATTGACTATATCACATTATAAAGTGTGAATATTTACTTTTATCAAAGAGAATTTCATTTTGGGTTATTATTTAGTAAAAAATTAATATATCTAATATGATTATTAATTTTATAATAATTACTGTAGCAACCTAGGTTGCTATAATTATTTTAAAATTTAAATAAAATAAATTTTAATTAATTGATAGTGTTAAAATATACCAGAATATATTCAACAACAGTTAGATTCTTTACTTAATGATGTATGTCGTCTATAATTAAGTTACAAATTATATTGGCTTTGGATTTAATTAACAATTAATAAAAACGGTTGCGTTGTTTCTTATTCTAGGAGATGCTTAAGGAAACTCATTCCACAAACATTATAAATACAGGTGCCAAAGGTTACATAAAAAATTTATAATAACATATATCACTGACTTCTTCATAAAGAATAGTAGCCGAGTCAAAGAGAATTAGGAGGCAACAAAGCAAAGGTAGTGATAGAAGTGATGAAGGAGTTAGCTACGATTTTGATTTGTGACGTTAACGTTGGGAAATCATTAACTAAATTAAGAATGTTTCATAGCAAATAACAGAATAGAGATGTTAACTTTTGAAAATGTCCACATCAGTAGCCAGCAGGTAAAAGATGAGGATGAGATGGAATTGACCTCGCCAACATGCACCAACCCTAGCTAAATAGCTATTGCCTGCGCTCAAAATTGAACAAATATATTCAAGTCTTAATTATCAATGAAGTTGTTCTTTTCTTCAGAAATATACTTATTGATCAATGAAGTTGAATTTTTTCGTGTTTTAAATAAGATTGTGTTTAATTTGATGGGTTAATGTAATGATTAAATATATATTATATGTTTATATAATTGTGAAGATAATCTATTTAATAAAAAATCTGAGTTTGATATATATATGTTATGTTTGAAAACTCACCAAGTTACAATAATTACAGTATCAGAAGTAGGATTAGTTTGTGATTTAGTAGACTATAAATTTTGTCAGTAATTAAGATTGTTTTTTTCTTGAAGAAAATTATATATATAAATTAGCAAAAAAGAGGGCAGTGCTTAAGTCAAATCTTAATAGATTAAAAGATGTTCCTAGAGTACACATTCAACACAATTATTTAATTATGTATTTAATTATTCTTTTCCTATATTTTTATAAAAAGTGGTCACTTGTTCTAGTCAACGTTTAATTGTTCACAGATTTTGATGCCGGTTTATAAGCAGTCATGCAAACCATTTTTAAAAAGTTGGGTACTACTATTGGTAGGCCATGCTTAACAATTCAGAGAGAAGGTTAAGGAAAAGGATGTCTACTTATATTAATAATTTTCTCGAATTTTTGACACATTCTTGCCTTCTTAATTTATCTTCTATACTTTATTGGGGTGCTTTCTTATAATTCAAGTTTTTATTTGAGATCCAAGCAGTGACAGTAAATGTTAATTAAAATAGCCAAAAATTTACTATTTCGGTGATCACATTTTATCCATTCATAAAATTAGAAAGAACAACTTTATATTCTAATTCTTTACTAATTATTTCACTGATTTTATAAAGAAAATACTGAATAATAATACATTAAATATATTTATATTTAATTTAATTACTTTTTTATTATAAAATATTAAGAAAAATAATATACTTAATTGTACTATTGTCATCCCATGTTTCACAATTTCATAGATCCTTGCCCTATAATTAAGGCAAAACAATATTTCTTCTAATTTTTTATACAACACTCGATTGCCTAATCTATCATAATTAGAAAATAGTTAATCTAGTTTACAATGTTAAATTTATCTTAATTTATATATTTTAAAACTACCATAAACATTACTATCATAGAAATCGCCGACCTATTTTACACAGCACAGACACAGAATAGAGAAATAGTCCGTAGACATGACTGTGCTAATTCCAAAATTCTAGAAAACCGGCCATACAAATTAGAACGTGGGGTATCCACGGGTGCCACCAAAAAAGATGCGGTCAAACACCATAGAACGTTTTAAGTTTTATCATTAACATTAACATTTGACCATTCCCCAATATTTTCTCAAACCTTCCTTTCTCTCTAAATATTTTCTCAAAATTTATTTAACATTAATTCTCGTTAAATTAATTTACCAAATAAAGCTCTCTTATTTGAACCCCGGGTATATATTTTCAATTCATTAAACCAATTCTATATTAAATAATTCACACGTTTGACTATGGAATTATTACTTTTGACTGTGTATGACTATAATATATATATATATATATATATATATATATATATATATATATATATATATATATATATATATATATATATATATATATATATATATATATATATATATATAGTATTTTTTATGAAAATGAAAATCCATATAATTTATTAGGACTAAAAATATATGAATATTGAATCCAAATAAAGATATTTGAAGTCCTACTTTGACCCATACTCGAATGATGATGGTCTCCTATAAATACCCGCTCCTTTTTCTCTCCCCCTCTCATTATTATCCAAACAAACACAAAGCAAACGCAATTAGGAAGAAGAAGAATAAGAAGAAGCTTGCTCCATAACAACGTAGTTCCAACGTTATCATTGTTATTGCAACATGTCTTGTTCCGTGGCAGTTCCCAGTTCCCCGGTCTTCTCTCTCTTCCACAACAACAACAACAGTAACAACAACAACAACAAAAACAACTCTTCCGCAACCGCAGAACATCTCATGCTTTCTCTTCCCATTACGACGCCGTCTTGTTCCTCAACCTCTCCACCTTCCTCTCCCTTGCTCAAGAAGAAGAGACCCGCCAAACTCGACATTCCGGTCGCTTCTCTCGCCTTTGGCCTCCCCGTCACGGCGCCGTCGCCCGCCAGGGACGCCGTCGTCCAAGCTGACGGAAGTGCTTTCTCTGTGTATTGCAAGAGAGGAAGGAGGCACCACATGGAGGACCGTTACTCCGCCGCCGTTGATCTTCGTGGTGAACCAAAACAGGTAATAATTATTAAATCAACTCTTATTTTTGGCTTTTTTTTATTTCTAATTTTTAATTAATGACCATTTAAAAAAAAACTTTATTTTAATTAAGATTTATAAAATTGAATGATGCTAATTAACTACATTTGCTATTTATCATTTGATTTCGAAGTATATAGATTGTTGCTTAATTTTTGTTCTAGTGATTTGTGCATCTATGCATGATGGATATATGCAAGGGCATTAGCAATGAGTTTTAACATGCAATGTTGGTTACTTTTTAGGCCTTTTTCGGGATATTTGATGGGCATGGGGGCACAAAGGCTTCGGAATTCGCTGCACACAACTTGGAAAAGAATGTGTTGGATGAGGTGGTTAGAAGAGATGAAAGTGACATCAAGGAGGCAGTGAAGCATGGGTATCTCAACACAGATTCTGAATTCTTGAAAGAGGATCTTCATGGTGGTTCATGCTGTGTGACAGCGTTGATTAGGAATGGTAACCTTGTTGTGTCCAATGCTGGTGATTGTCGTGCTGTCATTAGCAGAGGTGGTGTGGCTGAAGCCCTCACATCTGATCACAAACCTTCAAGGAAAGATGAAAAGGACAGAATTGAGACTCAGGTAATTAATTGATTAACCAAGTCACCATCCTCTTAGAAATTTTTCTTTCAAGCATTTTCTTTATTAGAAGAAATTATTACATCATCTTAAATAAGATTTTGAGTTATAATCTTATATGTATAAGAATGTAATTAGAAAAGATTCTTATTAAAGATGATGGTAACAAGATTTCTCAACAGATATTAGATCCACTAATTATTATTTCTCTTTTGAGTTCTTAATTAATTTGACTAAGACTATATATAGATATTTGGTGATTTAAGAGTATCTAATAATTTATCCTCATTCGAGTTCTTAATTTGACATTTGTTAATTTGTATAGGGTGGTTATGTTGATGTGTGCCGTGGTGTTTGGAGGATCCAAGGGTCATTGGCTGTTTCTAGGGGAATTGGAGATAGAAACCTGAAACAATGGGTGATCGCTGAACCTGAGACCAAAGTTCTCAAAATTGAACCGCAGCATGACTTGTTGATCTTGGCTTCAGATGGGTTATGGGAAAAGGTATACATATTAATCAATTAAAATGCATGTTAATCAATGGAGTAGTTTTATTTTGATAATTCTTGCACCATGATATTATTATTATTATTCGGTTACATCAACTAATTATGCTTCTATTTTGAATCTTGTTTCAGGTTAGCAACCAGGAAGCAGTGGATATTGCTCGAGTAGGGAACAATAGACAGCAACCGTTGCTGGCTTGTAAAAAGCTGGTAGAATTATCTGTGTCACGAGGCTCTGTTGATGATATAAGTGTTATGATTATCAAATTGCAAAACTATGTTTGAAGTCTCATTGGTGCAAGAAGAAAGGTTGGGAGGGTATTGGCATGGGGCCTCCACCTATTTTTTTCATATTCTTAGCCTTCAGATGTAGAATCAGTCAGAAGATTATGAATGTGAGCATGGTTAATGGAAAGAATTGAAGCTGCTGAAATTAATTAAGTTTACTTAAATTTTAATCTGTAATATATATATATATATATATATATATACATCCGACGAATGACATCGTTTCGTTGAAGATATTAATTAGCACTAACTTTAAGTAATTTTTTGGTAGAATGATCTTGATCTAATGGGCATCTTTTTTGGGTGTAAAGAAGGGTTGTATTTGTATTCTAATTCTAATGCAAACTATATATCTCATATGTTGTAACAAGTGTTAATTTATTGTGTATAATTCATATTTTAAGTTCAAGTTATCATCATTCTTTCTGGATCGTTATACTTGAACTACTTAATATATATCTTACAAGAATAAGAGCCAAACCAATAAGTGATCCTGTTTGTTTACCTGACTATGCTTATGGATATTGAAGCTGTGATTAATTGTAAGAGAAGAATATGATTTTTGCGCTTCCACAAGTTAATTTTGAGTAATTTATCACCTAGTTGGTTCCAAATCCCATGATGCACATCTCTTATATATATAAGCATAGTCTTCTATATAAACATACAGGAGTATGATATCCCATTTACAAATGTTGTTATTATTTCCATTTAGATTTTTACTTCTCAAGGTAAATAATAATTAATAAAGTTGAGTTAGACATTCTTCTTTTATTATATCCCTCCCTATATATATCCTGATAATTTTCTGTTGGTCAGCTTTCATTGTTTAAAATAGGATTAAAATAAAACAACTTTTCATTTTATTTTATTAATTAATTCAATCTTCTGAGTTTTTCTTCTTCTCTAATTTGAAAAGTAAACAGTAAATTAAATAAGTGTTTTTTGTTCCATTATAAAAATATTCAAATAATAAAACTATAACATTATTTCTTTTCGTTACATTATATTTATTTTCGTCTATCGATCGTTAGAAATATAAATGTCAAAGAACTTGACAATTTATTTATTTTTTCCAAATAAAATTAGGGTGTGTGTGTGTTTTATGGTTGTAAATGAACTAATGAAGTTGGATCAAACATTGTCCAAGTTTTGGATTAATTTTATATGGATTTTTATTGGTAGGAGCTAAGTAATTGTACTATTTCTTGAGTTTAATTTTTTGTACATGCAAGATTAGGTGTAGAAGTTGCTAATTTCAACACCATATATAATCAACATGCTACCGATAGTATACGTCAATACGTCTAGAACGTATGATATGATGTAACAGGTTTTGGATTACAATAATAGCTCCGTATCATAAAGTTAAATTCTAAAGTTAAATTGCTACATGAAAAGTACATGTATTCTACAAATTTTTGGTTGAAACTTGGAAGTGCATAAAGTCTTCTCATGTTTTTGATCTTTTCATCATGAGACTGAAATTACGTGAAGAGTATAAAATTTATATCGCAAATTAATGGCTAGCCAGCTTCTGACTTTTGATCATACTTTTCCTCTCTCACGCACGAGTTGATTTGGGAAAGCGTTGAAAACGAAACAATGGGATGTGTTGTTGTTTTGTTTGGTTAATTACGTGTAGCTGAAATAGGGATAATTAAGGTCAAACATACAAAAGGTTGATGAGTCCACGGAAGAGAATAATTCTTCTAAGAACTAGTGGGAACGCGATTATTTGGAACCATATGTAAATCATCACCATTTTTTTGTTTTTTTTTGAAGGAATTGACCAACTTTCGTGGCCATTAATTAGAAACATAGAAAATGTCCACTAAGAACGGTCGATAATAAAGATCTTGATGAATATCATACCATATGTGTTGCGCAGCATGCACTCACTACTTTTCTTTAGGGCGATCCATGAATATGGTTGAATAATGAACCAACCTCCTTCCACCACAAAAACAATATGTAGTGACTTTAAATTATATATATGTCAGCTATTTCCATGTAGGATTCATACAAACTTCAAGACTCAAGTTTAGACTTTGAATGAAGCAAAAATTTTAAACTTTTACAAAGATAAAACTAAGTTGAGGTGTGAGACTTTAATTTAGAACTAATGAAGTTTCAAATTAATTTGTAAATTGCGTGTCATCGATTCTTCCAAAATTGAAATTAAACGGATCATTTGCCATTTTTTTTATGATGTAACAAGTAGATTTCATTTAAAATTTTCAAAAATAATTGGATTAATTTTGACATAGATTAATCCTTTCACATAATTCACTTAATTACATAAGAAAAGAATTTCTAATGCGCATTTTTAATATATTTATTTTTTTGTTTTAGTAAATAACGTATATCCTTAAATAACGGATAACATATTGAAATGTATTGCATCATTTAATAATATTTACATAAATTTAATTTAATGATAAATGACCCACCATCTTTCATAGAAAAAAATATAGTTTTAATTATATTTTTAGTCCTCCAAATTTAAGTATATTTTTTTTAGTCTCAAAATTTAAAACTTGTATATTTAGTCTAAAAAAATATAAAATAAAAACTTATTATTTCAATCCTTCAAATTTAAAACTTATCTTTTTTAATTTTTGTATATATTTTTTTGGTTTATCAAATTTAAAACATGTGTTTTGAGTTTCTAAAATATACAAAATAATTACTTCATTCTTTGTAATCGATATTATTAATAAATATGTCACACAAAAATCTTTTATTAGGATTATTGTCAATGAAAACATCATATTAAGTTGATTAATATTATATAATTATTTTGATATGTCATTATCAATTATATCGTCAGTGGCCATGAAAGACTAAAACAATATATTTTATAAAATTATAGGAACTAAACAAATAAATTTTAAATTTGAAGGACTAATAATTTTTTATATATATTTTAGAGGTTAAAAATATAGTATTTTAAATATTTGAGAGATAAAAAATATATATATAAAAAATAAAATAATATTTTTTTAATTACGTGGACTAAAAATGCAAGCTTTAATTTTGAAGGACAAAAAATAATTACCTAAAACTTTGAAGACTAAAAGTATAATTAAGTAAAAAAAATATAACCGAAACACATGATATATAGTACGTTAGAAAACTCATTGAGAAGAATGAATCGTGAAAACTATAATTATTAACTTCTACATATCACAGTCAAAACATAAAAAAACACATCCGAAGCATGGAACAAAATATATTAATATTATAGTTGACAAATAATTACAAAACGATATTCAAATTTTAATATAAAAAATAACATTAAAATGTGGACAATGATGAAGTGATGATGACAATATGATATTTTGTATGGTTTTTGACTTGAGGTTGACTCGTGAGGGATGATGGGGTCAAAGGTGGCTTTGATGAACCATCACTTTTTTTTGTAGGCGCAACTTGTTTCTATAAAGCTTAAACAGTGGTGCGCACCAAATTTGTGTGTGGTGATCCTTCAAAAATGGTGTAATAAATAGAAGCATATGTATGCAAAACCAACACAAATATCCAATCACAACCAAGATATGTGATGTTAGTGGACGTACTCTTGTACTGTATAGTTGTTTTGATTAGTCATCGTCTCATGAATATGTTTCTGAACTTTCCTTCTTTAATAAAAAAAACCATAAAACTAGCGTCTTATGTTGAAAGAACTGGATTTGTGTGTCGTCGTGATGAAATTTAATGTGTTGTTTGGTAACCAAGAATGAAATATTGGCCATTTAAATGCTATTTAATGTGTGTTCGATAAGGTTATCAATCATTATAAAAATTACATCTATAATATATAGAAAACAACTTAGAATTCAGATTATTCTTTTCAAAATACAAGTCAATTAAATATAAATCTATAGAAAGGGAATTTCTGAATAGTGAAACAGTAATAACAATCGAATTTAAATAAAAAAAGAAAATTAATAAAAAAATTGAAAGAATTCTAATTGAAAAAGACATCAATTTAAGGTTTTAATCTTTACAATATAATTCTAATAGTTTAATCATAATATAAGAATTTAAACATCTTCTCATCAACACGAATCTAAATAAACTTTAGATCTAAATTTAAATCTAAGAATTTCACAAAAACGGAATCGATAATTATATATCCCAATTTCTAGAAATTCAAGAATGATAAACGTGTTGGCTTAAACAATTAATTAATTACCTAATTTTTATTTAGATTAGATTAATCAATTTTAATCAAATCTGGATCCAAAAATGTAATTTATAATCACAAATTGTGAAATTAGATCTAGAAAATAAAAGAAAAAAATGAAGAATTCATATAAAAAAATTAAATTGAAACTCAAATTTTACCATAATTTTTGAAATCTTGAATTGATAAGCGGATTAACCAAGCATCTTCATTAGATGTTGAAACAAAATCAGCCAAGAGATATAGAAGAGAAATTTGTGTGCGTGAGAGAGAGAAAGAGAAAAAATTTAAAGAAACTTGAAAGAGAAGAAACTCTAAATCTAAAAAAATGAGAGAAAGTGTACAAAGTAAGTCTCTTAACACCTATTAATGAGCTAAAATAGTGGGCCTAATCATATTTATTTTAAGACCTGACCCATCAATTACCTAATAACAGGATTAAACTACTTCTACAATAATTTCCTAAAGAAAACCCAATACAAAGTTCATAGATGTAACATTGTGGTGCATTTTTGACCCTAAGACGTCTGAACCAGATGAAACTTCCAATAAATAAGTTGTAAAACTCACTAACACAACTCATTCCAACAACAAAAGTTGCTAATGTCTTTGATCATATCATAATGGGTCAATTGATTATTTGAAACTCTAGCAAAAATAATATATAAACAATATGTTAAAGTTCAAGTGTGAATTGAGTCTCACATTGGTTAGAGTTGAACATGTTGAGCAGTATATAATAAGTGAAAAAGACCCACCTTCCTAATGCCTTAAGGTTTTGGGTTATGTGTGTCATGCTTTCTTATGTGATTTACTCACTACCATGGATGAAGTGCTCCCTAATGTAAAACTTTCCAACAATGGTATCAAAGTCGATGGTTCAACTAAGTGATTGGTGACCAACTCAAACGATTATTGACCGATAGAATTGGTGGTGAAATTAAGAGTGGGATCCTCTATTAGCAATGAAATTGGTTGTGAACCCCAAGAGTGATCAATTAGTGTAGGATCCAAGAGTGGGATTATCCTTATGTCGAAAAGTCTCCCTAGAGGTGTGGAGGATGTGTCCCGTTGATATACAACATCAATGTAAGTAGGTCACCATTGAATACTCGTTGATAAAAAAAAGATTTTTGCTTAAAAAGAGAGCATGACCATGTGGAAGAAATTCACATTTCATGGAAAGTATTGGAGTTCAAGTGTGAAGTGAGTCTCACATT